TGCAGAAAGGATGTAAGAGAATTATGTAATTCTCGATACGTCTCACTCGGAGGATACAATACCTGTGCGGCTCGTCTGGTTGCACCAGCCTCAAATGAACCGTACATACAATATCGTGCCTGAAAAGAGGCGCGCGAGCCGAGACCTCCGGGAACTCCAAACAAACACAAACATGGAAGATCACCGCGTGTTCAAACGGTGACGTCCAAGCCTTAAGGACGGTCAGAAATGGGGTGTCTACAGTTGCCCCTCTTGAACTCGAAAGTCATAACAATGACGGGAGTGAATGTCAAAGCCCAGAGACGACCCATTTTTGACAAGGCCGAAGACTTAGACAAACATGCAAGACAAACAAGGTATGCGCCCGAAGGCAGGGGCAAAATGCAAGACAATGCACGAAGCCGAGCATAACTTATGATCATGCAAAGAAAGCTGTAATGAAGCACGCATGCGACAACTTTAAGCTAGCAAACACCAAACTACACTACAATGCAGAAAGGATGTAAGAGAATTATGCAATTCCCGATACATCTCACTCGGAGGATACAATACTTGGGCGGCTCGTCTGGTTGCACCATTCTCAAATGAACCGTACATACAATATCGTGCCTGCAAAGAAAACAAACTTAACAGGTACAATATTGTTAACGATGTGCATAGTAGCGTACTCGAAATACGTGACAGCGCAAAGCAAGTGGGAAGCATAACAATGCTATGAAAATACAGACATGTAAGTGGGGCATGCGGTCTACACAGGCAACGAAATTGATCATAAGCATGCGGTCTACGCAGGTAATGATATTAACAAATATGCGGTCTACGTGATCAAAACATGCGGTCTACGCAGGTAATGAATTCTGAACAATTATGCGGTCTACGCAAGCAAAACATGCGGTCTACGCAAGTAATGAATTTTGAACAATTATGCGGTCTACGCAAGCAAAACATGCGGTCTACGCAGGTAATGAATTTGAACGATAATGCGGTCTACACAAACAAAACATGCGGTCTACGCAAGTAATGAAATTGAAATGCGGTCTACGCAAGTAATGAAATTGAACGATAATGCGGTCTACGCAAACAAATCATGCGGTCTACACAAGTAATGAAATTGAAATGCGGTCTACGCAAGCAAAACATGCAGTCTACGCAGGTAATGAAATTGAAATGCGGTCTACGCAAGCAAATCATGCGGTCTACGCAGGTAATGAAATTGAACAATAATGCGGTCTACGCAAACAAAACATGCGGTCTACGCAGGTAATGAAATTGAACAATAATGCGGTCTACGCAAGCAAAACATGCGGTCTACGCAAGTAATGAAATTAAACAATAATGCGGTCTACGCCAGCAAAACATGCGGTCTATGCAAGTAATGAAATGATTACAAACATGCGGTCTATGCAGGTAATGTAATTAGCATGCGGTCTACGCAAGTAATGAAATTGAACAATAATGCGGTCTACGCAAACAAAACATGCGGTCTACGCAGGTAATGTAATTGAACAATAATGCGGTCTACGCAAGCAAAACATGTGGTCTACGCAAGTAATGTAATTGAACAATAATGTGGTCTACGCAAACAAAACATGCGGTCTACGCAAGTAATGTAATTGAACAATAATGCGGTCTACGCAAACAAAACATGCTGTCTACGCAGGTAATGTAATTGAACAATAACGCGGTCTACGCAAGCAAAACATGCGGTCTACGCAAGTAATGTAATTGAACAATAATGCGGTCTACGTAAGTAATGTAATTAACATGCGCTCTACGCAAGTAATGTAATAAACATGCATAACAGTGCAAAGTGGATGCGAGACAATGCAGGTCGCAAGGAATGTAAGACAATGCAAACGAGGCACACATGCCAATGCAAATGAGGCACGCATGCCGATGCAAATGAGGCAAATGAGACATGCATGCCTCGTACAATGCAAAATGATGCCTAGTGCGACACGTGTGCCACACGGAATGTAAAACAATGCGAAGTGTGACACGCATGCCACACGGAATGTAAAACGATGCGAAGTGTGACACACATGCCACACAGAATGTAGAATGATGCTAAGTGTGACACGCATGCCACACCGAATGCGAATAGACTAAAATGCGTAACAACGCACGTGTTTCGAAATGCATGACAATGCAAGGGAAGGGAATGCACGACAACGCGAACGATGCGCGAGGCGACGTATGTATTTGAAATGCATGACAATGCTTGTAATAAAAATGCAATGACAATGCATGAGAGATGTGCATGACAATGGAAGGGGTGCGTGTTACAACGCATGTAGTATGTGCATAACAATGCAACTGTGAGGCACGTAATAGCGCGATGTAATGCACCGAGCACTACAACAAAAGTAACCTATGGTGACGAAAACTAGTGAAGAAAATAAAATTCGTCACTAAATGAAAATAATTTGTGAGAAATTTATAAATTTTGTCACATATAATAAAAAAATAAAAATGATAGGTGACAAAATTTATTTTCGTCAATAAATACTTCATTTTAAGTGAGGAAAAATTAAGTTTCGTCACCAAAAATTTTCCCGCTATTTTTTTTGGGTGGCGCCAAAATTTTGAGACTTTTGGTGAGAAAATTTTTTGTCACTAATTATAAAAATATTTGTGAGGAATATATTTTCGTCACCAAAACGTTTTAATATTTTTGATATCTTTTGGTGAGGAAATAATATTGTCACCAATTTTGGTGGGAAATTTTTGATATATTGAGTGGCAATTAAGAAAAAATAGGGTATTAATTTTTTTTACCCCTTTTCTGTTTATTATCTCTCTCTCTCTCTCTCTCTCTCTCTCAAAATAGGGTATTAATTTGTCTTATCTCTTGCTCCTCCACCACGCCGATCACCATCGTCGCCTCTATTAGCCTTGCCGATCGTCGCCGCCACTAGTAGCCTTGCCGGTAACCGCCACATCTTCTTCGCTCGGTGATTTGGTACTTGATTTCTCTTTGCTCTTTTTCTGGTATCTCTTTCTCTTATTCTCTGTATTGGTATGGTGACGAAAATTAGTGAAGAAAACAAATTTCGTCACTAAATAAGAATAATCCATGAGGAATTATAAATTTTGTCACGTATAATAAGAATATAAAAATAATAGGTGACGAAATGTATTTCCGTCAATAAATACTTACTTTTAGGTGAGAAAAAAAATAAGTTTCGTCACCTAAATTTTTCCCACTAATTTTTTTTTATGGTGCCAAAATTTAGAAACTTTTGGTGAGATTTTTTTTTTCAACAATTAAAAAATTAATAATGAAGAATATATTCGCGTCACCAATAAATTTTTTTTTTTGAAAAATTTGATTTTAAATATTTTAAAACCATTTGGTGAGAAATATATTTTCGTCACCAATAATTTTTAATAATTTTAGGCCTTTTAGTGAGAAAATTGTTTTGTCACTAATTTTGAAAGAAGAATTTTAACATATTAAGCAGTGATGAAAAAAAATAGTCTAACCAAAATTTTTTTTCCGCTATTAAAAAATTTGAGGGGAATTATGCTGCCAAGTTAGTGACAAAAAATTCCGTCTCCATTAAAAATATTATTAGTGAGGATAAATATTTTGTCACCAACTATTTCAATTTATAAAACTACGTAGTTTTGTGTTTTGGAGACAAATTCTATTCCTCACCAAATCCATTCTCTTGACCCAAATGATCCATTGCTCTCATTTCACACGTAGAGGCAGACTGTATAGCTTCATCAAAGCTCTTCGTTTCTCTCTCTCGCACCATTGTCCAACTCACAGCACCGTCCACGAAATCCAGGTTAGTTGTAGTCTCTGTTCCTCTTTCTTTACCCCTCTCTCTATTCGGGTCTCTCGTTTCTCATTCTCTACCCTTACTCTGTCTTCAGACGCGTTTGGGTCAAGATGAGATTAAATCCATTCCATTCATTGCTTCTAACATTTCTATAACCTCTCTACTTTGAAGGTTCCATGAACAACTTGAATGATTTTAATTTGGGAAAAAAATATGAAAAATATAATGATTATCATGTTCGATATTCTGATTATGATATTCATATTATAACCAATCACTACTAAAAAAACAGTTAAAGATCACACTTTGACAAATGAAAATATCTCACTTTTATTAAAAGTGTGATAAAAAATTAGATTAATATTTTAATCACACTTGATTTGATTAAGTATGATAATATTTATTTTTTTTTTTTTGGTTGGAGAAATTGGTTCAATCTTAGATCTCTCCCATGGAGTTTGTGGCTTGTCGTAGTAAATTACTTCAACCCAAAAGCAGGTATGTCAGTGTTGTGTTAATTAAATCCTTTTAATGAATATGACTTTCCATATAGGTTGTATATATTACTAAATTTATTTTAATTTTCTTAATAATAAATCTTTTTCAACTACTATATAGTTATAAATAATGATTAATTTATTGTTGCTGACAGCCTTCAGGACAATGTTTTCAACTCTGGGGAAAATGGTATGTATTAACTGTAGTTTTTTCAACATTTTATTTGTCCGTATCCATATTAGTAACTTGGGATTGGTGTTTGGCCTTTTATGTGGTCCTTATGTCAATTAGAATTCTGGATTGTTTTTGTATAATTGATTTAGAGTTCAGAAACCAAGAAAAATTTATTAGATCTTAATGATTGTCTGTTATCAGTCAATTCATGTTGATATGTGGTTAGGTTTTGTTACACAGTTCCTTTGGAATTTTATGAACCCTGGTGCGGTCATTGCAAAAACTTGGCTCCAATCTTGGATGAAGTTGCTGTTTCATTTGAAAGTGATGCTGATGTTGGCATTGCAAAGATTGTAAGATCTAAAACCCAAACTAGCTAAAGACTACTTGAAGAGATTTGTTGCTTTGTCAGTATAGACGGTTATTTTCTGCAAATATTGTGCACTTCAATATTACTCTCAAAGTACCTTTCCTTTAATGTTATTTCTGCCTTGCAAATTGAAATTGTTTTCTTCCGTCATTTCTAGGTTGCAGGTTCATGTACTGTTCATCTATGGCTTCTAAAACAGAAGAGTAAAATTCTTTTCCTTCAGGCTTTTACAACAATATATAGTAAAAATTATTTTTAATTAATCTTAGCTTGATATTTTGGCTCATCTATGTTGGTTTATTTCTCATCCATATATAGAAGCTTTTTGATTATTGAAATTTTTTTGGGTGTGTAGTATTTGCTCTCTCTCTCTTTGGTCCTAAAAGTTGTGGACAGAATTGTACAACATTGTTACTACACATGAATTAGCTCAATCTCAGTTCTTTATGCTCAACCTCAATCCTCTTTCTCTTTCCTTCATTTCTTTTGCTCTCCTCTCTCTCTCTCTCTCTCACAGCATTCCTTCTGCCTCTTCCCCAAGCGCTGCTCCTCCCTAGGGCTCACCATAGTTGTACTTTAGAAGAATCTGGTTTGTTTAAGGTATGAATCTTTCAATTTTTTTTTCTCTATATCAAAAGAATCTTCTGATTAAACTCAGAAACACCTACTTCTTAATTGTTTAACACTGAAACACCTACTTCCCATTGATTTAACATTGAAACATCTACTTTCTCATGGATTTATGTCATTTTTTCATGGAATTAGGATTTATTTGATTTAACACATATTTTCTCATGGATTTGGGGCATTTTAATTCGATTTAACACTCAAACATCTACTTTCTCATGGATTTAGGGTATTTTCTCATGGAATTAGGGTTTATTTGATTTAACACTAATATTTTCTCATGGATTTAGGGTATTTTAATTTGATTTAACATTCATTCTAATTAGTCCACATGTCAAATTGTCAATGATATGATATCCAATATAAACAGTTTTTCAATAGAATTTGCTAACTCTAATGCATAATCATACAATTTGACACTGATTGTGCACAAACAGATTAAGAATGTATCATGATCAACCTGCACACAACCCATGCATTAAGAGTCATCCTCAGCCTTATTGGCAACCTGCTTAAGGAACTTTTCTTACGCAATTTTTAAGAAAGATGGAGCAGGTAAGTATTAAACTAAGTCATTCAGTAAGCCTACTAGAAACATGAAAATAAAACTGGAATGAATTTTTGGATAGATAAAAAATGAAACAGAAAAATTACTAAACTAATAGAAAACAAAAACACTGAATCATTTTTTAGAAATATTGTTTTCATTGTTGTAACTTTCTAGAAAGATGAAACATAAAATTTATCGAACAGACCCCTTCCTTAAGTTAAAATATGAAACACTTCTACTTATTAGTCTGTCCTGACTCCAAGTAGTCTGTTATTATATTCACTGAACATTTTTTAAACCCCGCAATTTTCGGAGGGTCAGATCATTTTTCCCTCAAATCCAATAGTTGATCCTTAACTGTATCCCATTTTGAAAGGAAAAGCATGAGTTTGGAAGTAGTTAATTCTTTTAAGCCCATTCAAGGAATATATATTTTGAAAGAAGCAACTTCAGGAAGTGACACAGTTATGATCAATAGGCAAGGTGTAATTTCTGTTATGTGAAATTTTATCTCGTGTATGCCTGGTGCAAATGTTTTTTTTTTTTGAGAAAAGGAATTCCTCTGTACGAGTTACATGTACTTCAAGAATTTTGATTTGGATAGACTCATTTGGCAAATTGGCATTAGAATGATTTATATTTCATATCAATTTTTACATATTTGATACCCTTACAGGCATGGAGGTCATATTTTGAACAACAAAACTCCATTTCTTATGGAGTCAATTCTCATAATAAGGAGAACATCAAGGAGGTACAACTCTTTCACAATGCATTTAACAACGGGGCATTGGACCACCCGTTGAAATGAAATTATTTCATTGTGTTATAGAATATATCATCTGAGTATATTTCATTAAAGAGGGCATTTGCAATGAACTCGTTTTGTTCTTACTTAGCAGTGAGTCACTGTGCAGTCACATATATTGGTGCACTGAAAAATGCAATTACCTCTTGAACAGTTCTAAACATGGATTGTAGAAACTTATTTAAGATTTGTTTCTCTCTTCTTTTGTTTGAACTAGGGGTTTACTTGGTAAGGATTACTTTTGGTCATTATTTATAGGTGACTCTAGTCTGAACTTCGTGTCCACAACGAAAGTCCCAGAATATCTTCATCTATGAGAAGGCAATAAAGCACATTGTTCTGTAGTTGATTCTCTCAATTCAACCTTAGTTTATCAAATTTAGTAGCATTTGATTGGAGTTCACATTTTACAGTTCCTGAACTTTTTACGAGCCCGAGTTAGAGAATTGAAGAAGATTGATCATGCTAATCATACCATAACAGTGCTGCTAGTTGGGATTCCCAATGTTGGCAAGTCAGCCCTGGCCAACTCCTTGCATCATATTGGGCGGATTAGTGCTTCGGGTACTTCAACCTTATTAAATCCTATTATCCATTACTAATTTTCTAATTAAAAAGTTTGATTTAGAAGAACTAATTTTCAAGATTCTTTTTTTCGTAAAAAAAAAATATGTATTTATGGTCATTAATTTGGTGGCATATTTTTATTTTTAAGAGAAAGGAAAGTTGAAACATGCAACAGTGAGTCCGCTGCCAGGGGAGACAAAAGATATCAGCAGCTTGAAGGTGTGTAATCTTTCTTTCTTCTATGCCTATATTGCTAGAATTATTTGGGTTGGGAATTATAGCTAATGCATTCCAAATTCTCTTGTTATTTCATCTTCTCTTAAAAAATGGTCATAAGAGAAGACCTTTGTTATGCTGAGGTTTTTCAGCATGTCTCTTTTCTTTCAGCTTCCTTTCTGTATGTGTTTATCATGTAATAGCTGAGTTGATTTTTATTTTCAGATTGGTAGCCATCCCAATATTTATGTCTTGGACACCCCTGGGGTTTTGCCTCCAGAGATTCCTGATGCTGAGGTGTGTTCGAAACTTGCTTTAACAGGTATGGTTAATGAGAAATTGTCTTTCTTTTGTGATCAAACATGGTGAAAAACAATGGGCTAGAGTTACTCTCTCAAGCCACACAAAATTCTCTCCCATTTGGGATTTGGTTAGATAATTGAGATCTTTAGATTTTTCAGCAACTCTGCTCTGATACATGCTTTAAATTTGAAATGCAGGGGCTATTAATGACTGTTTAATTGGGGAAGCAGAACTAGCTCAATATTTTTTGGCTATCCTCAACTTAAGTGATGAATACAAGCAATGGTCAAAATTTTCTACCACTGCGAGTGAAAAATTATCAAATGAGAAAGTCGAAACTTCAGTTGACTCTGAGTTGGACAAGAGACGGAAGCAGTATGCCACAGATCACACACAGGTACAAACATTTCAGTGATCAACTTATCATGTAATTTGAACAATTTGTATTACTGAATAGGGAAGATAAGTAAATCTTTACAATGTTTCTTTTTTTCCCCATGTAAATCATTTTCTGCAGGAAAATAGAAAAATAAAAGATTGTCTTCTAAAATCTAAAATTGGTAAATGAAGGATATGACTCTCTTCAGTAGAGAAATGCGGTAAAACATCATCAACCCAATTCTTAATAAACAATAAACAGGAGAACAACTAATTTTCAAAAATCACCTATAATATTCCAGTTGTCATCACAAAAATATTTTATGACTGGGTTAATGGGATAACCAACTGAAAATGAATGTTCTCTTGGGAAAACAAAATGAGCAATGGAAAGCCCCACTGTCTTTTCAAATTGATCTGTTTTGCCAAACAAAAGACTTCCAATTTTAAGTTTTCACTAGCAGCACTTCATTTTACCTTTTGGAAGGAAGCAAAGAAAGTGCTAACGAACTTAAAGGCTTAAAATATTATTTCAGTTCTTGTGGTTAGGTGCTTTATTGTTGTTTCTTCTTACATTTTTGGCATTTTGAGTTTGGGGGGTGGGCATGGGAGATTGATAATATAATTTTTGGATGAGGTAGAGTGAAAACAAGTTGGATCAATTCTAATATTTAACTAGGTAAGCTTGAGGTTCACGTAAGATTGAGCAGCATCATGCTGACAGCACAGCAAAACACATATATAATAGATGGACCTTTTGTTACCAGAAGCAATATTGGGTGGAAAACTTGTTTTTCTGAAAGGATGCTTAAGAAATGGGGAGCCCTTTGCTTCCAAATATGACAAGGAAGTGTGTTTTAAAACCAAAATGCTCATGTTTCCCACTTGCGCCCCTTGTGCATCACTGCAGAGGGAGAGAGAGAGAGAGAGCAGGTGTGCCTACTGCTGCAACTGAACGAAGCTTCAAGTAAAGCTCAGCTTGTTTATTATTTATTTAAATATTGGGGTTTACTTGGTAAGGATTACTTTTGGTCATTATTTATAGGTGACTCTAGTCTGAACTTCGTGTCCACAACGAAAGTCCCAGAATATCTTCATCTATGAGAAGGCAATAAAGCACATTGTTCTGTAGTTGATTCTCTCAATTCAACCATGGTTTATCAAATTTAGTAGCATTTGATTGGAGTTCACATTTTCTTGAATTATGTTTCAATATTACTCTCAAAGTACCTTTCCTTTAATGTTATTTCTACCTTGCAAATTGAAATTGTTTTCTTCCGTCATTTCTAGGTTGCAGGTTCATGTACTGTTCATCTATGGCTTCTAAAACTGAAGAGTAAAATTCTTTTCCTTCAGG